GAAGTAAGCTCAGGTAAATCTGCTTTGCACCAAACATTCCTTGCAAAAAAAAAGTTAAAAAAGACCGTTGGATGGTATTTATAGTGAATTAAGTTCCAGATCTCTAATTCTAATTTTACAAAAAATATTTTAAAATAATGAATAATTTTTTTTTCATCCGAGATGTGTTCGATAAAAAACGAGACTTTTCATTGTTTAATCAAAATATTTATTTACTCATCTTCTTTGGTATTCTCGTATTCAGACTTGTTTTAATTAGAGCTTATGCTTTCATGTCAGCGTTTCTTTCAAGCCCCGAAACACTTCTAGGTTCGCCAAACCCTTTATTTACTTCAGCCAAGTGCTTTGAAGGTCGGCTGCAAAAAGACGATGTTTTAAAATTCTCTTTTTTCCTGGAAACAATTTAAAGGAGTGAGCATATCTAGCAAATATATTGGCAGTTTTTTCTTTGACCAAAATTTCAGGAGCCATTAAAATGTGTGGGCAGGTGCATTATCGTGTTGCAAAATCCGTCAGCTGTTTGCGCTCAGTTTCTACTATTTTTTGAGATTGTCGAACGACTTCTCTAACTGTGAATTGGTGTTCTTTTGTTTTTCTCATAGCGTACTGACTAGCCCCAGCTTTTACAATTCTCTTTTAACAAGCGAAAATCTTCGGGTTTGTGAAAACACGTCTGATCTTAATGGTCGTTACAGACGAAGTCAACAATCAAGTTTTTATCATACTTTAGAAGCGTATAAATGTATTGCATACATATGTAGGTTTGTATATAATAAAGGAAATATTGACAATCGGACTCCCCAAGCCCACCTCGTTTGTTTGTAATTGAAAAATATAAGGGCTGTATTAGTAAATAAGTTAATAAGTGCCCCTAACTTGAATCTCGGTTTGAAGAACTTTTAATTTAATTCTGCTGCCCTATGCCTTAATAAAAAGAGATATTTTTCCACAATTTTGTTTCGAAAATTTTATTTTCAAATAGGAAAAAAAACTACAAAATTAATAAAGGGGAATAATATCCGAACAAACTGACTTTTCAAGAAAAATTGTCATGCCATATTTGAAATTTAAACTTTTTAATCAAATCGAATCACGCGTAAAAAAATTTCGAAAAACTAACCAACAAAATATATGCATTAGTTAAGCATTGCAAGTTTTTTTCTTTTATTTAAAGTTAGTTTTGAGAAAATTCTTTTGGTACGATTCAATTTGTCACATAAAATTACTATTACACATAAATGAAATGAGAATGCTGCGGGTAAGTAGACCAACATTAAGATCTGCTAACCAGCATAATTTGTGTAAATTTCATATCAAACTTTGATGTAACAATTAGCTAGCGAACGACGTTTGGCATAGATATAAACGACTCTAAGTCATAAAGCGACGAGAAAGAGAGATTATGTCAAACTCAATAAGGATAACTGCCACTTGACCGCTTGTCCTATTATTTTTTGATAAGTGATTTGCAAAGGGAAATGTGAAAGCAAAAAATTGGTTGCTTGCCTGCTTATATGGGCACTGGGTGAAGAACAAAACGCAGCCTTCAGCTTGAATGTAAAAATTTTCCATTTGTGCAAAAATGTGAAATTTAAAAGCCTAACTTAAGTTTAATTTACAATACTCATGTAGTTCGTATTGTGGGGGCTTATTTGCAATATTGACTCAAAATATGTTTTAATTTCTTTTATTTTGCTTTCAATTTAATTATCTTTTGATTTTATTTTATTCAATTTTAAATTTTAACTTATTTTACTTTGTATTTCATTTAATTGGTTTTTATTTATTTTTTTTTTTTAATTATAGAATCTTAAATATTGTATATTTGTTTGACTTTACACCATTTAAATTCCGCTAATTTAATTGTAAATAAATATTTTAAATTAAAATTTAAATTACTTAATTTATTTTCTATCGTATTTACTTTTATTTGTTTAAGTCTAATTTTGTCTAATTATCAAACTGAATTTTATTTCAATTAATACATTTCTTGCAATTAATTTACTTTATCAATTCAATTTCATTTAAGTCAATTATTTCAAATTTAATTTCCTTAACTTTATTATATGTACGTAGGTCGTAACGTATTTTTCTATTCTGTTTTATTATTTTTAGATTTAATCAGTTATATTATATTTAATTTTTTTTATTGTATATAAATTCAACTTATTTTCATCTTTTAATTATTATTTTATTATTGTTTGATTTGATTTCGTTTCTTTTATTTTACTTTAATTTTGTTAGATTTTATTTTTTGTATATAATTTAAATTTATTGTTTTACTTTATTCAATTCCGCTAACTAATTGGTTTTTATTTAAGTTTGCTTAAGTTTATTTAATCATTAAATTATTATTTAAGAAATTTTGTCTTATTTTGCTTAAATAATATTATATTGTTTAATTTTAAATATATATAATTTTCTTATATTATTTTTTTAAGTTAAATTATTTAATTTTAATTTATTTTATTTAATTTAATTTAATATAATTTAATTTAATTTAATATTATTTTACTTTATTTTATTTTATTTTATTTTATTTTATTTTATTTTATTTTATTTTATTTTATTTTATTTTATTTTATTTTATTTTATTTTATTTTATTTTATTATATTTCAGTTTCTTCTTATTATTTTATATACATTATTTTTTTAAGGAATTGTATTTTAATAATTTTAAATTTTTATATTTTTTTATTTTCTTAAGTTTGTTTTATTTATTTATTTGCTTTATTCTATTTTATTTTACTTCATTTTCTTCTTTTAGTTTTAGTTTCATCTATTTAACTTTTTATTGATTTATTAATTTTTTCAATTTTATTTCATTTCATTTTATTTTACTTTACTTTATTTTATTTTATTTAATTTATTTTAGTCTTATTTTATTTCAATTTATTTTAATATATTCATATTTAATTAATATTTTAATATATATGTTTCTATTTTGTTTTATTTTATATTATATTAATTTAATTAAATTTTATTTAATTTAAAATTTTATACTTTTTGATATAAGTATTAAGCAAACTAAAGGCCTCATTTGTTTGTATGAAATGAATATTCTGTTATACAACAAGGATATATGGTAGCAGTGACAGCTGTTTCGGAGATCACCACATCTCCCCTCATCAGACTTCTTATGGCAGGGATCGAACCCACGTATCCCGATTTAACAGCCGAGTGTTCTACGACTGCGCCAACATCAACCATATAATCTATTGTTGTATTATTCAATTCACTGTTATTTATATTTTTTTGTTTTATTTTAATTGATTTTATTTTATTTCATTCTATTGTATGAGTGTATAAGTTCGTGCCCGATTTCAAGTGCAAACTAAAATTGAAATTTTTTGAAGAAAGCGCTTTTATTAATCATGTTCGGCAATCCACTCCCAACGTTCAACCAATTTACAGATGCCTGATTCATAGAAATCGCGCGGTTTCTCGTTGAAAAAGGTGTAAGGTGGTTTTTTGACGTCTTCACACATTTTTAAATTTTTTCCATTCAAATTGTTCTGCTGAATATGGGGGATGCGGCATGATTTCCCAATTTATCTCCTTCAGTTTGGCCAGGGTCAGTTTTGCAACATGTGGCCTGGCGTTGTCATGATGGAAAAGAACTCCTTTGCGATTGGCCAAAATCGGACGTTTTTCATCAATTGCTTTCTTCAATTCGACCAATTGCTGACAATACTTGTTGGCAGTGATCGTTTCTCCAGCTGGCAAGAGCTCAAAATAGATCACGCCTCGGATATCCCACCAAATGCACAGCAGTACCTTCATCGGATGCAATCGACCTTTCGACATCGGTTTCGCCCCTTCGTGTGCCTGTTTCCATGTTCTTTTGCCTTGAACATTGTTGTTCAGGATCCATTTTTCATCACCCGTCACGAGCCGATCCAAAAAGGGTTCGTTTTTGATCCGTCGAAGCAAAGAAATTGTTTTTTTCCCTCAACTGATGTGGCACCCATGTATCGAGCTTCAAAGTGTACCCAACCTTTTTTAAACTACAAAACGCAGTTGATTTGTTGACGTTCAATTCACTGGCAACCTCTTCCGTCGAAATACGTGAGTTATTCGCAACTGAAGTCTTTAGAACATCGTCATCAAGCTCAGAACGCCGTCCACTGCGAGGTTGATCTTCGAGGTTAAAATCTCCAGAACGAAATTTCGCGAACCATTTCATATATTTATATTCAATTTATTTTATTCTCTTCTATCTATTTCAATTCCTGCTTTTTATTTTATTTTATGTCACTTAATTCTTTATTTTGTCTTACTTTATTTTGTGTTATCATTTTTTGTTTTAATTCACTTCATTTGTTTTTATTTCGGTTTATTTTTATTTCTATATGATTTTAATTTTTTTTAATTTTTAATTTTTATAAATCCCTGCCTTTTTTTATTTTGTATTTTTCTCATTTCTGAATTTGTGCAAAATGATTTAATTCAATATAATTTTGTATAAAGTTTATTAAGTTGTTTTATTTGAATCATTTTATTTTATTTTATATCTTTCATTTATTTTGTTTTGCTTAATGCTAGAGGTCTGTTTTTTATTTATTTAAAATAAAGTGAAGCTAATATACATTAATCTATTTGTTTTATTATTTTTTTTTCGTTTTATTCAGTATAATTCTATTTTTTTTGTTCTATATAACTTATTTAATTTTTGTAAACAGAAGCCTAAGTTTTATTTTAATTTAACTTTAATGGTTTTATAATGGGACCACTTTGGCAACTTTAATGACGAAACACTCAAATGTGCAAAAGAAGAATAAGATTAAATCGAATATTAATGCGCTTAATGACACTCTCCGGAAGACATTATTAAGGCAATAAATAAAACTACGCGACTTAGCGTATCAATTGTGAAGGAATAAAATTTTTATGTGAAAGTGACAATAATTATATTATGACAACAATTTTCGACATAAATAAGCTCTCCATAATCTTAAACTGAAATAATGATTACTATTATCTATTCTCTTCCAACTCACCACCAAATCAAAAGCAATGGACGTCTGAGTATAAACATTTTTTTTGCTTTTCCTTACACGCCCCCGTCAGCAAGCTGCTTAAGCTGAATCACTTAAATTGAATTTTTGACTGAATTTTGAAAATTGAAATTTACAAAAAAAAAAAAAAAAAAAAAAAAAAAATACTCAAAAGAAAAAAATCAACGAAGAGAAGCAATAATCGTATTGGAAAATACAAAATCCCGTTATGCACTCAAATCACTAACAATCCTGCTGGCCGCTGATGTCCTCCGTGCGCCTTTACACTGACCGTCAAAATTTAAGCGCATTTAATGCCTCTAAAGCCAAGCCCAGCCAAGGCAGGTCAGCCACTGCTCCCACTGTTGTGTCGATGAGTACACTTGGCTGCGTGCCGGAAATTTCGCGCGCCAAAATAACACTATACCAACGTTAAATTTACGCGCCTAATAGAGAATTTCAAAAAATTGCCTAACACGCCGCTTCTACGTCTACGCCGAGCTTATTTCCACGCAAATGGTTGCAATGCAACTGACTAAACGAGCCACCAGTTGGCTGTGCTGTGGCCACATAGCTTAGCTGGCTGCTGGCTGCTGGCTGCTGGCTGCTGGCTGCTGGCTCGGGTGGCGCTGTGGCCACACTTAACGGCATAGAAAAGAAATTGCGCGCAATGCCGAAGTGCTTTGCTTCGACGGCGACGAAGTAAATGCGAATGCGTTGGTAAGTGGCGAGCGGAAATGCTGTGGGTGAGCTGGGTTGTTTGCTTGGGTAGATGATTGTTTGTTTACTTGCTTGCTTTTGAGCTGTGAACGCATTGTGGCGCCTAGATGTAGGCTACAATTTTAACTCAATTTTTTCCCATTCTCTTGCATTCATCTTAAATCACTTCTTATAAGTTAGGTTCCGTTGCTTGTTTTTACTTATGGTTTTAGTTGTTGATATGCGCTTCTGCAACTACTTATTCTTCTGCTTGCTCTTCATAATTTTTGTTGCTATATATGCTTAGTCGGCGATTTTTGGTTGACATGCGCAGTAGTTGGCTCGTCACGTGCTGTTGATGTTTATAGTTATGTTTGCATATAAATATATAAAAAAATAACACACGCATACATACATACATACATACAAGTAAATGCAGAAATTTGTGTATATGTTTGTGTTTTCACTTTTATTTGTCTTGACATCAGCTACTTGGAGGCATAGCTATACATACGTGTATGCATATATATATATATAGAATTGCATTACTTCTACGTCCATAAATATACATACATACGTATATGCTCGTATATGACAGATGTTGGTTCTGTGATATCAATGTATGTCTTACCATTTGGACATATGTATGTATTCACGCGACATTCGCATTCACATTCGCCAGGGTAAATAGTTTGGCGGGCAAAATTCATTCATGATTGATTCTACACAAAAACAACAACAAAGTTTGCATGGTTACAATTACACGCATACCTTGATTGACAAACGTACAACCATATGCTGGTTAAGGTAATAGCGTAGTTATGTACACTGTAAAAATTGTTTAATTAAAATTAATTTTTACTTCTTTAAATCTTTTATAAATGAATTGATTCAAACAAATACGTTAAGATATTAATAAAATAAGACATGAAATATTCGCAATAAATTTTTTGTAATAAAATTTTATATAGTATATTTTGTCTTTACTAAATTTATACATACACTAGCTGACCCTGCAGGTGTTGTTGGGTGTGAAATTAGGCATTTTGAAAAAAATTAAAGTTGAAATTACATCGTGTTGAAAATCATTTATTTACGATTTGTGTACATTTTGTTCAATGCAATTTAGCTTGATAACCAAAAATCTGTTCCGGGGCGTCAATGAACCGAGAAGATGGTTTTCTAACTTGTAAACACGCCACATATAGCTTGCCGTTTGAAAAACATGGCATTTCCAGATTTATGTCATATACCTCAAGCGACTGTGCTTGTCACATTGAAAAACTTTTACTAACCATTTTTCATAGATAGGTTTGGAAAGAAAAAAATTAAAAAAATGTAGAGAAAAAAACCACGTTTTGTAATTTTCCAATTTTTTGACTTTTCGTCAGGATTTATTTACTTCTAAACCTGCTTAGATCCATAACGCCCAAACCTCTGAGAATTTCATCTGTACTGATTCAGCCGTTCTCGAGCCTTGGTGTCATTAACGAACAAATAATCATTTTATATTCTAATTTAAAAAAAAGTTATATCAAAATATAAAAAAAAAAACAGAAAATTACAAAAAAAAATGCTTAGTTAAAACTAATGTACATTTTCTGCATTGACTTTTTTCTTTCCTTCCGTTTTTATCCTTTGCAATAGGCAAGAATAGAGGGCAGTCACTTAGAGCGATTCTCGAATTGGAATGAACTGGATATAATTCAATAAAGCTCTCGGCTCTTGCGGCGAGTTGGCTGATAACATTCAATTCTTCCCCTGTTGTTGTTGGTACAAATTATCATCTTTCTAACGCCATCTAGCATAATTAAATCGTATTTACATAACAAACCTGTACTACTACGCGAGATAAAGATAACTAAGGCTATCTGCTCTGCTGGCAATGACCTACGTTTTGCCTGTGCGTAGTGCCAAACGAAAATTCAATTTGTATGAAGGAGCCATCAAGTTCAAAAGCAGCGTGATATGTAACTTTGCGATTTATTTCTACTTTATGAGATGCGCGACGGACGAAAGCATGAGATTTGTTCTAGATAAGATCTAAGAGGTATATATGATTCGTTTGGTTCACCAGTTCATATCCGCGGCCTTTCAACTTCTGCATCTATGGCTTTTAGTACTAATTCTCATTTAACATCCGCTTGAAGTCAGTTGCGGGTGCTGTGACCTGCCTTTAGACTGCCGAGTAGTATCATCTCGGTTGTGGAGATTTTTCGTTTATTTTATTGTATGCCTTTTTTGACATCTTTCGTATTTCGTACTTCGGTTTAAACGCTAAAAATATGACTACTTCCTCATAATGTTGCTTTTGATGATTGAAAATTAATAAGGATTCTATAAAAAGCTAACTTTGATTACACAAAAAGAGGAAAAGAAAACAAATTACGTTGCAAATAAATATAAAAATCTTCAGTGTATGCACGTGTATCTATATTTGCACTAACACACTCACAGGTATACCTTACCAAATAACAATTTTATATATGTATGTAAACACAAATAAATCGGTAGACAATAAGTTGATTGAATAGTTAAATATGCATGCCTACGCTCATACATACATACATACATTATAAAGCTACATACATATGTACATACATCCCACATAACAAATAGCAAAAGCCCTAGTGCATTGTTTGTATCATAAGGAACAGTTTTAGTCAGCTGCTGCCTTCCCTACCAAGCTCGCTTGCTATAAACTTAATGTCGTTTTGTAGTTTGAATACCTTTGTTGACATTGTTGTTGTAGACTATTGTTTTTTTTTTGTTGCTTGTTTTATTTGTGTTGTTATAGCACTTTCTTGTTGCTCTTCTTCTTCTGGCTATATAGTGGCTATTCTCCCAATTTATCTTTCAGCTTTTCTTGCTCTTAAGTAGCATTGCTATTTTAATAGTGTTGTTGCTGCCGTCACATGATTACGTTTAGTATTTGCATAGAAAATTATTCATTTCAACATAAGGGCGGGTCGTTCTATTATAAAAAAATATCAAAGAAATTGAAATATATTAAATAATAAATTCATTCGTATAATATTTAAACTAGATCCAGACAAATTGAGACAGATGGAAAGTGCGGCTGAAAAATATAAATATTAAATATATTTATTGAATAATGAAAATTTGGTATTTCACATAAAAAATTTAATTCTAATGAAGCCTACTATATGTAGATTAACCAGACTAGACGATACTTTTTTAAGAATTTTTTGATATTCTGGTCGGTTTTTGTCAGCTTTAACAACAAAATCATTCATGGACAGGATTTATTCTCTTAACTGATATATCGCTGTATATTGTAATATAAGGCTACTTTCTGAGAGTATTAAAGAGTTTTGATTATAAATATAGAAAAAAGTGAATCACGATATATGAAAATGTATTCTCAAAAAGACTGTGCAAACGATATTTTTATATGGACTCCTTAACCATGACGAGCTTTTATTTTACCAAAAGCAAACAAAAAAAAAAAAAATTTGAGACCCACTCTAATGCGTTATTCATATAAATACAAACCTTTCGCATAACTGTTCACAAGGTACTAAGTGGCACCGCATTGACCAATTTTCTTATGAATATTTACACGATGGTAATTAGCAAATACTTTTACTAGCTGCGTTGTTTGTTTGTGTTTTGAAAATAGTTTCAAATATATTTGCTTACATATGTACGCAGGTGGAATGCATCTTCGAGCACAAAGGTAAAGATAACCTTGAAAGATTAAAATACAAACAACAAAATGGAATAAAATAAAATAAAATAAAATAAAATAAAATAAAATAAAATAAAATAAAATAAAATAAAATAAAATAAAATAAAATAAAATAAAATAAAAAAAAACTTGATTTCGATGTGTTTTGTTGATATGGAGATATTTATATAATATTGACCGAAATGATGCAATCTGGGGCTCGAAAAATCCTAGGTCTATTGTTGAAGAGCCTCTCCATCTTCAACGTGTGACTGTTTGGTGCGGCTTATGATCCGGTGGGATCATTGGATCTTACTTTTCCGAAAATGAATGGAGTGCGCTATCGAGAGCTGATTAGTATTTTTTGGGGCCGGAACAGGATGGTAGTGATACAGACAACGTTCACTTTCAACGTGATGGCGCTTGTGCCACACAAGCAACGAAACCATCGATCTTTTAAGGGAAAAGTGTTTTTTGAATATAAAATAACGAATCTAATTCAATGAAATTAAGGAAAGCTGGAAAAGTCATTAACTTAAAATATAAAATATTAATGTTTTATATTAATATAAGTACATTTTATTAATATTGACTTGCAGTTAATATGATTTAACGTTAGTTATAATTTCTCAGGCTTTTTCTAAAATCCTCAAAATGCCGTTAAGACAATATCGCACCATAGCTCGTTTCTTTTGCTGCATCATATGCCGTAAGTTCTCCAAAACAAATCCACACAAAGCACACAATAAT